TTATTAGCTTTACAAGCTTTTAAGTTTACAGTGGAGCACAAATTCATGTCAGCTAATCTGTCCTCATAGCTGAGCTCCTCCATGCCGCTTATGAGTTTAGTCGCCCTTCGCTGCACTTTCTCCAGTTCCACAACATCCTTTTGAACTGGTGCCCAAAACTGAACTGCATATTCCAGATGAGGTCTTACTAATGCTTTGTACAGGGGTAGGATTATGTCTCTATCTCTGGAGTCTAGACCCCTTTTAATACAAGAAAGTATTTTGCTTGCTTTAGAAACTGCAGCTTGACATTGCATGCTATTATTGAGTCTATGGTCTACCAGAACACCCAGATCTTTCTCCATCATTGACTCCCCCAAACATACTGCCCCCTAGAGTGTATGACACGTGCATGTTTTTAGTCCCAAGTGCACAACTTTACATTTATCAACATTAAACCTCATTTGCCAAATAGATGCCCAATCACACATTGCATTCAGATCTAGTTGGAGAAATCCTGTAAGGAACGAATTCCACTACATAACTTGGTATCTGCAAACACAGAAATAGTACTTTTAATCCCCAACTCTGTCATTTATAAATAGATTAAACGATAAGGGACCCAGCACTGAACCTTGGGGGACACCACTAACAACCTCAGACCATTTAAGAGTATGAATCATTGATCACCACTCTCTGAATACGGTCTTTAAGACCGTTTTCTATAAAATTACAGATCGAATACTCTATACCTACTGACCTTAACTTATACATTGGCTGCATGTGGGGAACTGTGTCAAATGCTTTTGCAAAGTCCAAGTATACTATATCCAGGGCTCAAAATTCCACTCGCCTGCTTGCATTTGGCGAGTAAAAATAAATTGAGCGTGGTTGGAAATTTGGGTCTCCAAGTACCGGTCCGCAGGCCAATTCCGGCCCGCGAGCCGGTACTATGTGGCCCGCAGCCAGCTGACATGTCAGGCACACGGTCGCAGACCGCGCAACATCTTTCATTATGCGATGGTTGTAAGGTAATTAAAATCTCGTACGATCTGGCCAGGTTCGCCAGGTTTTCCAGCGGGCTTGGAAGACGAAAGTCAGACAACCTTACAGTAGAAGCGGTCGCACGCTGCCAATACACCTGCCGATTATCGTGCGATAATCGGCAGGTGTATGGGCAGCTTTAGTGTATGTGTATATTAGGCACCATTCACATCTACAGTATATTTCAGGTGTGATTAGAGATTCCTGTCTCAGGAACTTGCGTTTTCCTGCAGCAGGAATCCCTAATCTGCCGTTTACAAGCATAGCCGTTTACTATCATAAGATAAGAATTATCATAAGATTATTTAAGAGGGTGTGTTTAGGGGCGGAGTTAAGGCCGGGGCAGGGTAAGGGTTAGGTGGGGCAACTGGTGGCTAGTAACTTTTAAGGCCAGGCTAGATGCTCAGGACTTGAAATTTTGAGCCCTGCTATATCCACAGCCATTCCTCTGTCCAATTTTTGTACTCACTTCCTCATAAAAAGAAAGTAGGTTTGTTTGACAACTTCTGTCTTTTGTGAATCCGTGCTGACTATCCCTTATGATATTTTCCAGCAAAAACAATTCTATTTGATCCTTGATCAAACTTTCAAGCATCTTGCCAACTATTGAAGTTAAATTTACAGGTCTGTAATTACTTGCTAAAGACTTTGATCCCTTTTTTAAGACAGGCACCACATTTGCCTTGCGCCAATCCACAGGTACCAAGCCAGTCATTAGAGAGTCTCTAAAAATTAGATACAGTGGCTTTGAAATTACACAGCTCAATTCTTTGAGGACACATGGGTGTAAGCCATCTGGTCCAGGTGCTTTATTCACCTTAATTTTGTTTCTGGATCATATCAATAGTCAGTCATTGTGGTTCAGTAGAAGCTATGGCACTGCTATCCTCATTATGGACTTGAGTTACATCGTGTTCCTTGGTGTGCACAGAGCTGAAGGTATTTAATAGATTTGCTTTCTTTTTGTCCCCAGTTACCAACTCTGAGTTCTCTTTTAAGGGGCCTACATGCTCAGATCTGATTTTTTTTTACTGTTAATATATTTAAGTATTAAGTATTTTTGGGGGTTAATCTTGCAATCTTTTGCAACCTGCCATTCGCTTTAAATCTTTGCAAGCTTTATTTGCTTTTTACATATATTGTTATATTCTTTGTAGCTTTCAAATGACAGTGTTCCTTCATTTTTATATTTTTTTAAACGCCCTTTTCTTTATGGCTTTTTTAACATGGGTTTTACTTTTAGCCTTTTAAACGTATTACTTAAATATAGTTTTCCGTATGGTTGCAAACAATTGTTTTGAAACATTCCTATTTTTTTCTGTGTTTTTTGATGAAAATATTCCCTCCCACTCTAAAGGTGCCCATACACCTGCCCTCGCAAGCCCAATGCGGGGAGGGCTTGCGATGATCGCAAGTACGATCTTCCTGTCCAAGATGGGCAGATCGTACGAGATTTTAATGACCTTACAACCATCGCACAACGAAAGTCGTGCGATGGTTGTAAGGTGTATGGGCACCTTAAGTCTTCAAGAGCTGCCCTCAGCTTGGGAAAATTTGCTCTCCTGGAGTTAAGTATTTGTATTTTTCCAGTATGTGCATGTTTACAACTTAAGGTAAATTAAATCATATTATGGTCACTGCTACCCAGATGTTTTTATATAAATATTTGTAATAAGCTCTGCATTGTTTGAGATTACCATATCCAGCAGAGCATAATTTCTAGTTGGGGCTTCTACAAACTGTACCATAAAATTGTCATGCAATAAGTTTATAAATGTCCGCCCTTTTACTGTTACTGCAGTGCCATTATGCCAGTCAATGTCAGGATAGTTAAACTCTCCCATTAATACTAATGTCCCCGCCCTTGCAGCCCTTTCTATCTTTGTAAGGAGCTGAGTCTCTGTCTCTTCATTAACACTGGGGGGGCCTGTAAAAGAAACTCCAACAATTACCTTTGCGTTATGCATACCAGTATACAACTCCACCCATAACGACTCAGCACCATCATACTCCCCATCACTAAAGTCCTCTTTCACACTCACTTTTAGATCACTTCTCACATAGAGACAAACACCACCACCTTTTAATTTTACCCGGTCTCTCCGAAAGAGAGCATAGCCAGGAATATTTACAGCCCAATCATGTGAAGAACCAAGCCAAGACTCAGCAATACCAATGATATCATAGTTCTCCTCATACACCAAAGCTTCCAATTCTCCCATTTTGCTGTGCAGACTTCTGGCATTGGCAAACAAACAATTCAACAAAAGATACAGCAATTACAAGTGAAAAAAATTTAAAAATGGCTTGTAGTACAATTTTAGGTATGATAGTTTTCTGCGATTTTCACCGGCGTGCACAATTTTAAGGCTTCATATATTTGGTGTCTATTTACCCGACGTGAGCCCATGTTTTATGTTTTACCCAAAAATTGGGTAATAATAAATGTTTCCTAACATAAACTTATTTTTTTTTTTCGTTCTATAGTAAAAAATAAAAACCCCAGTGGTGATTACATACCACCACAAAAAAGCTCTATCTGTCCCCAAAAAAATGGTATAAAATTAATTTCAGTACAGCGTTGCATGACGGAATAAATGTCAGTCAAAGTACTGCAGCGCTGAATACTGAAATGATCTGGCCAGGAAGGAGGTTTAAAAACCGTGGTCAGCAAGTGGTTAAAGAAAATTTTGCCCAGTTTAGATTATATTTTAGAAAAATAGCACAGCTAAAAAATAAAAACAAATGCATTAAAATTCATTACTCAGGCTGAGATCATAACTCACGTCTCCAATTTAGCTGGGGGAAAAGTACCGGGGTCAGGTGGCTATACCGCTGAATTTTTTTAAACTTTTGAAAGGTGACCATGTTCCGACGCTCAGTTTAGTATACGCTCAGTTTAGTATACTCCCACATGTGGAGGGAAGGCTTATACTTACCTACTGGTAATGAGGCCTATATAATACGGTCACAAACATTGATCAAGTCCTGTTCTTGAACAATCTTCTAGATTCTCGGGCTCAGCTTTTGATAATGTTAAACACACATGGTGGTTCACAGTCCTAGAAAGGCTGGGATTCTCAGGATCATTTTGTCTCTTTTCGTAACGCTATGTATCAAGCTCCAACGGCAGGGGTGCACACAGCTAGCTTTCTTACTCCCCCAATATATTTGCAGAAAGGTACTCGTCAGAGCTGCCCACTCTCTCTCCCCCCTACTTTCTACTTTACTATCGCGATTACGTTTGGTAACTGATATCTATAGTATACAAGTAGGCACGAAAAAAGTGAGATCTACCTTATTCGCAAATGATCTTATTTTTACTTCTAAGGTTGAAGACATTCCCAATATATAATGTCTACTCCGTACCTTTGGCAAGTTATGTGGATATAAAATGAATGTGGATAAAAGTGAAATTCTCCTTTTACATCAAACATCACCATCTCCGGCAAAAAGTTGTGGATTTCAAACAGTTAAGAACCATATCACCTACTTGGGCCTAAAGATGGTAAAGGGGCATAGTTGAGGTAGTATATGCTAGAGGGAAGGTTACCCAACTAAAATTTCAAAAGAACTAGCACAATGAACTTCAATTCCACTATCGCTGTTTAGCAGGAATCACTTGATAAAAATGGTGAGTTTCCCAAAATTACTGTATCCACTCCAAACAATTCCCATTTTATTGGAACATAATTTTTATTTGATTGAATTTGCTTTGTTCATAATAGCAGCGCTTTCCACAGTACTTAATACACTAGATACTGACAACTAAAGGTGTACATCTAATAACTTTAATATATAGTAGTCATCCTTGAAAGGGAGAACTATTCAAAATTAAGGTAATCATTCTCGATAAAAGAACCTGTGTAAACACTACCACTCAGGCTGACCCCAACAAAACCTGCTTGTTGGGGTCAACAAGCACACCACCCCCCCCCCCCCCCCCCAAAAAAAAAAAAATTAAGTCATTATACAACCTCTCCATAATATTTTCAGGATATACATTATCACTGTAGGAGCCATCATCAAAATTGACTTCATAAAAAATATGCGTAGCCAATCCAATCACCTGGCAGCGATAGTACAGACCATTCCGATTACGGCTTATTACAGTTTGGCCAACACAGACCTCCCTGGAAATCATATTCTGTAGGAACAGGATGGTTAGAGTAAAAAAAAACAAGACCAAAAAAATAAAATTATAATAATGATAAAATAACACTCACAGTTTGATTAGCAGCCATGTGCTTGAAGCAGGTAATTGATACAACATATGGCCAATCATCAGGCTTCATAGATATGCCAGCCATGTGTGCACATGTGACATGGAAAGAGGTTGAACATCGATCAACTGAGCACTGGACACAGGCACCGACCTCTTTGCGGATTTTACTCCGGCAAAATACGCATTTCTACAGCGAAAAACATACATGTCATTACCTTCCTTTTAAAACACAGAGAGAGCACCTAACACAGTTGTTCTGATACTGACCAGTTTCCACCGCTGTTCTGGAATACCACTAATATCAACTGGCTGACGCTCAATCACATTTACAAAACGAGCCTCTGGAACTGCCACAGCACAGACGATATGCACCCACCTATATTGAATAAGGTACAAAAACAGCATTTTGAAATAATAAAACCAAGTAAAAAGGTGTTATTGTCCTCATTACCTAACAAAGGAAACCTTTAGAGGAGAAAAGGAGGCTGCCACTTATGACCTCTAGTTCCAAAAATTGTAGTATACCAGTTATGCTGACCCCTTGGCTCAATACTTTGAGCCACAGATCTGGGGCTTGTATACACATATGGGCTTCTGACTTTAATGTAACAATCGTCATAAGTCATTAATGCCAACCCCTTATTTCTCTAATGACAGGATTACCTAAAGGATACACCCTAAACTTAAAATATATATTTTTTATTATATAGCACATAGAACACAGGCTTATTCAAAGACAACTGGGTTATAAGTAGATACCTTCAGGTGACTGGAGACTAGAAAAACCAATCAGCTGTGAAAAAGCACCCATAAAACCCCTCCCACTCCTAGCAATTCTCAGGTTTTTAACAATCACTAGGAGAAACACAGATACAGAGGGGAGGATCATGTGTCCTGTACTGTACTCCAAGAAAATAATTTTACAGTGATGTAAAAAACCTATTTTCTTAATTGTACAGTACAGGACACAGACCTATTTATAGATGACTGGGACCTTCAAAAGCAATAAATTGAGGGTTGGGCAACACAGCAACAAATGCCAACAGGCCCAAGGAACACAGTTTAGGCACCCTAAACTCAAAGAGCAGCTTGAAGAACCTTGCAGCCTAAACTGGCATAAGAAAAGGCCTGAATGTCCACTTGGTAGAACTTAACAGATGTGTGAATAGAAGACCAGTTGGCGGCCTTACAAATCTGAGAAACAGATACTTGGTGCTGGAAGGCCCAAGAAATACGGCTCTAGTCGAGTGAGCCTAAGGCTGGGTTCACACCTAGGCGTATCGAATATGCGCGTTTGTCGCTCGTCCCGCGATTCGCTACCTGGCTGTATCCCAATGGATACGCGTGGCAAATACGCCCCAAAGAAGCTCCTGTAGCAGCCGGAAACGCACGTTTGTCGCACGTTTTTTACAGTTAATCACGCTAAAACACGCCTAACAGGTTGAATATAAAGCAAGGAGTCCCCTATGGGAACCTTTAGGAAGAAGAAAAGGGGCAATCTGATTGCCAAAAGAAATCTGCACCCAAGCAGTAAACTCTCTCTACTCGCACCATATGAAAACAATGGAGAAAATCTCCTTGGGGTCATTTGGATCAGGACAAGGAGAAGGAGAAGGAAAAACAATGTCCTGATTAAGGAGGAAGGAAGTGAGCACTTGGGACATAAAGGAGGACTTGGCCTTGGATGACCTTATCCTTGTGTAATACTAGAAACAGTTCTTTACAGGACAAGGCTGACAACTCTGAACCCTGCCTAGTGAAAGTAATAGTCACAAGGAAAGCAAGCTTGCCAGATAAATCAGCCAAGGAAATATACCGGATAGGTTCAGGGTGGCCTTTAAAGGGCCAACAGAACCAAGTTAAAATCCCATGGCATCACCTGTAGGCTACATGAGCTACCGTCTGTATGGAGGTGTTCCGATATAGTAACCAAAGCATCCACTGCAAAGCCCTAAGGATTCCTGGTTCGAGCAATCAACCTGTCCAGTTTGTGGTTGAACCTGGACACCAGAAGGTTCACGTCCATGGTTCCCCACTTGCGACAGAGGTACCAAAACACCTTGGGGTGGAGGGACCACTCTTCTGCATGCAGACACTGATGACTGAGATAGTCTGCCTGCTAATTTTTTACGCCCAAGATGTGCACTGTGAACAAGATAGGAAAATTAAGCTCTGCCCAAGTCACACTTAGGTTTGCCTCTCGCTGAGCCACATCACTTCTGGTTCCACTCTGACTGACGTAGGGCGCCGCTGTATTGTTGTCTGATTGGACCCCCATCAGGTGCCTCTGCCATTCGGAAGTCCAGTGCAGGAGAGACAGCCAAATAGCTCTGAGTTCCAGGATATTAACCCCTTCATGACGGGAGATGTACACTGTACGTCCCGTCACAAAGTTCCTATATGACTATACGTGACAAGCTATTTAGGGCTCTGTAATCAGCCGGTAACCGCTAATTCTCATCGGTTAACAGTCATTAATGAATGCCTCAGTATTTAGGCATTCATTCATGAAATAGTTAAGCTTTTGTAAAAGCTTCTTTCTTTCATTAATGAAAGAATGAAGCCGTTACATGCAAATACGGGAGTGCTAAATAGCAATCCTGTATTTGACAGCTGAAAATAGCAGAGGTAGCAGAGTGACTCACCTCTCTGCTATTTGTTTTGACAGCTCGATAGCCCGATGTTTATAATACATTTCAGGCAAAGAGATACAATATCACTTCTGATCGTCTAGGCACGATCAAAGACCTTTAGTGAGATCTGAATCTGACATGCTGTCAGGATCAGTCTCTAAGGTTATTATTAGCTGTTCCTAAGTTTGGAGCAGCCTAATAGCCAAAAATGCAGAAATTCTCAGTGACTGCTTGATATAAACTGACAAAAAAATTTATATTATAATTATAAAAAAATTCTAAAAAAAAATTATGATCAAAACTTGTGAAAAAAGTGTTTTCTTCTAGTTTTTTACCTCATTTTTTAAATATTTTATTCAAACTAAGTGAGGTGTTAGGGCTATATAATCATATCAAACATGTGTACCTATCTGTCCTCTAAAAAACAATATATAATGTGTGGGTACATTTAGTAAGAAAGTATATTACTGCTGTGGAAGAATCACACAGCAAAAATTTAAAAAGTGTGTCAGTCATTTATGAACAGAAACTGAAAACTAGCTCAGTCATGAAGGGGTTAATGGGAAGCTGAGGTTCCCTCAACGGCCAAGTCCCCTGGGCCATAGATGTTCCTAGCACTCAAAGAAAAAGTCTTAAGGATTTTTAGATCCGAGGGGCACTGCTCCTGGAGCTGTCGGAGGTAAAGTCGTAGTGGTTATAGTGCAGTCAGAAGCTAGATAGAAAAGTCAGAGAAACATACCAGAGAGAGAAACCATCATTCTACCCAGTAAAGAAAAGTCCATCTCCTCAGGACACTGAGGAAGCCGAGATTCTAAGCTGCGAATCACGTTTTTTACTTCCCACCTCACCGATGGATGTGCATGTTGTAATCAAATTGGTGGAGCGTACTCCTACTAGTTTTGACTACAGTGGACATACTGTAATAAAATTCCACACACCCCTGCAAAAATGCCAGGTTTTTGAGATGTAAAAACAAAAAACCAAAATAAATCACTTCAGACTTTTTTCCATCATTAATGTGACCTATAATCTGTGCAATTCAATGACAAACAAACAAATCTTTAAATAAATAAATTACAATAACTTGGTAGCATAAATATGCACATCCGTAAACTAATACTTTTTTGCGACGCACCTTTTGATTTTATGACAGCATTCAGTCTTTTGGCTAGGAGTCTATTAGTTGGACACATCTTGCCTGGGAATCTTTGTCCATTCTTACATAGTTACATAGTATTTGAGGTTGAATAAAGA